TTCCCTCCCCAAAAGTGATCAAAGAGAGCCTACTTAGGCACTACTGCAAATGGAAGTTGTCTAATAACCATTACTTCTAACTCAGGAAGGGGAGGAGGTGAAGAAAGTCACAACAGATGTTTGGATTCCTTCTTCTCTGACGTCTTCTCTTCCCTATCTGACGCTCTGGGACATGTGCAGGGGGGTCAGCATCTCTTCAAAGATGGCTCCTTTCACGTTAGAGCCCCTCAAATTGGCTTCCTGGAGGTCACAACCTGATAGGTCACAATTCTGAAGGCGAAAAGAAGAAGAAGTGTCAATGGAATGCACCCAGAACTCTGTTCAAAGCTTTACTTGAAGTCCATTTACCTGAACTCCATTGTAGTCTGAAGCTGGAGAGGTCAGCCAAAAGCCAGCAATCCCCCAAATTATCAGCTGACTGTAGGATCTAAAGGAATAGGATGGAAAATGAACCCTAACTCACTTCCAAATCAGTTCCTGCCAACGTTGCTCCCCTGAGGTTACAGTTCTTTAGTTTGGCGTTTCTCAGCGTTGCAACTCGGAGGTTAATTCCTGTCATCTGACTGCCCTCCATGTCCACTCCTTTCAGGTTGGCACCTGGAACACACACAGAAAGGGGTTCTGGGAGGAAAAACGGGCAGAGACACAGCAGCTCCACGCTGGTGCTGCCTCAGAGCTGTGTGAATTGGAGGAGAAGGGAATTCAGTGCTGGGATGGTCACAGGCTCGGCCCAGCCCTTGTGGGCCCTTCTCAGGGTTGGACAAACCACAGCTGGACCTTTTCTGGGCCAGATAAATGGACAAACACAGGCTGCAGTTGGCACAGATTCACAAGGCAAAACCTTCTTACCTTCCAGATTAGCTTTAAGGCCTGATGGGTCCTCAAAGTTGCAGCCTTTCAGGGACGCTCCCTCCGCGTTGGAGCACAGCATCTTCACCCCTTGGAGGTTGGCACACTGGCACAGACAGGAGGCAGTGAGAGCCAGAAGAACAACACCAAACCAACCAAAACACAGGTTTAATTTCTGGTTTGGGAGTGAATCCCATCAAATCATTACTGTGAGGAAGCTGAACAGCTTTGGTAACTAGAGGAGCAGAGCATCTTCACCCCTTGGAGGTTGGCACACTGGCACAGACAGGAGGCAGTGAGAGCCAGAAGAACAACACCAAACCAACCAAAATACAAGTTTAATTTCTGGTTTGGGAGTGAATCCCATCAAATCATTACTGAGAAGAAGTGTAAAAGCTTTGGTAACCAGAACAACTCTAGAATATATTTAAGAGCTCGATGTTTTACACCGCTCTGTTTGTTCCAGCTCCTCTCTGTTAAGCCAAGCCCAGCCCTCCCAAGCTGCAGCAGCTCTTACATCCAGCACAGAGCCTGACAGGTCAGCCCTCTCCAGGCTGGCACAGCACAGGTTGGCATGGGCCAGGTTGCAGCGGCTCAGATTGGCCATCTTGAAGTTGATGTAGCGAAGATCCAGGCGGGAAAGATCCGCTCCACTGAAATTCAGGCCCTGGGAATCCCAAGGAATAAACCCCCCCAAAAAGGTTACAGAAGGGAAGGGGTAAGTCAGGACACAAAGTTAAGATAATTGTGTAGATATGTGTGCATTAATATTTACAGTGTATAAATATGTGTATAAATACATGGATATAAATGTATTAAAATATATACTGTCTATAAATATACACAGATACAAGATAGATACAGACACACACAGGTTCTGGGAGGAGCTGAAGACACCCCACCAGGTAAGGGGGCTTATAAAAAGGAGGGAGAGGGGCTTTTTATATGGGCCTGGAGGGACAGGACAAGGGGCAATGGTTTTTAAACTGAAAGAGGGCAGGGTTAGATGGGATATTGGGAAGAAATCCTTCCCTGGGAGGGTGGGGAGGGGTTGGGGTGGAATTCCCAGAGAAGCTGTGGCTGCCCCTGAATCCCTGGAAGTGTCCAAGGCCAGGTTGGAACAATCTGGGCTAGTGGAAGGTGTCCCTGCCCATGGCAGGGGCTGGAATGAGAAGACCTTTAAGGTCCCTTCCAACCCAAACCATTCCAGGATTCTATACAGATAAATACACACAAGACCATTTATTCTATGAAATCTAAATGCAAAGCTCTCAAAAATTGTCCTGGGTTTATTTTACATTTAAACAAATTGCCCCTCCAGGAAAGCTTCCTCCCAAAGCAGGAATGCAGCCCAAACCACCCTGGAATTCCAAGTCAAGGTCACTGTGCCACAGCTCAGAATCCAAACTCAGTTAAAGAGAACACATTGTTTGGATTTCATGTTGCCACATTCCAGCACCAGGCACCAGCACCCCAGAGAGGGACAGCACAAGGGGCAGTGGTTTTAAGCTAAAAGAGGGAGGTTTAGGTGAGATGTTGGGAAGAAATTCCTAGGATTTTGTCAGAAAGAGGAATGTGTTCTCACCTGACAGCGCAGCTCGGACTTGGTGGGTGTTGCCAGCAGGAACCGGACAAACTCCTTCCGAGAGATGGGAGAGTGATCCTCAGCTGGCTGGGAATTCTGTTGGGAATGTTTTTCAACAGCTGACACAGACAGCACTAAATTACACATCCCCTGGAAGAGCAGGGCAGGTGCATTCAGGTGTTCAACCAAATTACCTTAATGGCTATTTCGAGGTGTTCGATTAGGGAATCGATACCAAAAAACCTGGCTTCCTCCAGGACACCTGGAAACAAAGAGTTGGTTATTTCCAGGGAACTGTGAATCCAGAAATCACCCTTCTCCCTACTGGAGAACAACCACAGACATTGTATTAGATGTAACTGGGCAGAGGGAAAGCTTGCTTGCAGCTAAAAGGAAAAAAAAAATCACTCAGCCAGGATGTTTGCAACACCAGCATTGGGTTAAAGGTATCAGCTCCAGAATTCCAGCCAGAAATGAATCCAGGATGGAAAACTTTTAATGCTCCCAAGATAAACAAACAGCCTGTCTTCATTAAATCAAGCAATCTTCATTAAATGAAGTGATCTTCACTAAATCAAGCAACACCTTCATTAAATGAAGCAACGCGGAGCTGCAACGCCCGAGAACAAATCCCGAGGAAATTAAACTCCAAAGAAAACCACGGAGATGAGCACACAAAGGTCCCTCTGGCTTCACCTGGAAGGGCAAAGCTTAACTCCCAAAGAGGAATAATTCAGATGTCAGACAGGTAATACCTACCTAGCAAATTAATGCCATCATTTACAATGAGCTGTCCGTGACGTAAATAGTTCAAAATGGGCTCAAAATACTCGGGACTGCGGTCAATTAGGAATGCTCCTCTATGATCCTGCTTGTTCCCCCAAGCATCTGTTTCCACAACATATATATATATATGTCATTAAATTGGATATATTACTGTATAGATTTAAATGTGATATATTAATAGAAGAGCATTTGCTTCGCTTGCAGAGTTTTATTACCAAAGGCGGCGGGATGTGAAAATGCCACGTGTGAAAGGGTGGTTTGCAAAAGGAAAGGAGGAGTGAGGGGGGAAAAGTCACCTTAAAATGAACTTGTTGCTGCTCTAAATAACTAAAATATTTTATCAAATACATAAGAATAAAAGCAGCACTAAGGTTTGAGTCTGATTGTCTCCCAAAGGCAGTGTTTGCTCATGGATTCTCCTGACGAAACCGAGCAACAATAACATGAAAACCTAAAATCAAACAGACAAACAAACCAACCAAAAAGGACCCAAAACACTAACTGTGGGTGGGAGTTGTATTTTCACTTTGTGAGATGATAAACTTTAGGTGGGCAACAGAGAAATAAAGAGTTATGAAAAGAATAATTCTACGTTCTGCTTTGGTGCTTTTAACATATTTTTGATATTTTAGA